CAAAGCAACAATACCGATTATTCCACTTCATACTTTTGTTCTGTTTTGCAGATACGAAAATAAATAAACAAATAAAAATATATGCATATGTGTGCATATATATACCCTCTCGGCAATGCTACGTGGATGTGTAGCACAACCGCGCTTTGCTCGAATTTTGCACGGAACAGAATCTTGAGGAATATTGTTCATAAACTTATCCATTGGCATAAACTCCAATGCTCCTTGTGACATCCCAAACTGAAACTGATGATAACAACAACAAGAATTAATGAAAAATATGCAGACATAACCATAACACCAATCACATCATTTAATGAAAATAAGACACGATGCTCGGCTTATACCTGAGACTCCATATTATCCATAGTATTGGAGTTTTTAGGTTGTTTAGTTGGAGAAACAGAAAAGGTTAGAGGGTGGTTATTGTCATTTTCCCATAGTCCCATTGTAAAACAAGTGCTCGTATTGTTAGAACGCGAAGATCTTGCTTTGGTGTTATTATCGTGAGTGTCGCTATCTGCATTGTTCTCAATCTCTTCGGATATTCGAGAAAGTGATTCTTTTGAGTGAGAGAAGCTGAGTCGAGAGTTCATCCTCGACACTCCTTGCTTGTCGTCTTCAGCAATCCCTTTGGAATTGTAGTTGTTTCCTATCCCTCTTGTTATTGAAAATCCTGCTTCTGAAAAGGGGGAAAAGAAAAAAGGATTTACATAGGTCTTGAGACAATGTGTACATCAAAAACATGTAGAGATTACTACTATTAGTTTATTACAATACTATAAAACAATGTAATGTAAGATGATTTTCAAACCAATCGCGTAGCTCGCAAGCTGAATTGAGTCGAACTGGACTCGTCTCGTTAATCGAACGACAGCTTAAGGTCAAGTTGTCTCGACACATTTATCAAAATAAGTAAGTCGTTTAAGCAATGATATGCGTATTATTTGTACGGAAAACTGAAAGCATAAGTGAATTATTGAAAACCAACCAAAACTATTAAAATATTGTCATATTCCAACGGTAATATATTTCAATAGAAAATTCAATGAGTGTATCTTCCGTTGGAATGATTATAATGAAAATATTCCGCTGAATTGATATTTCATTGAAATTTTAGTTGGAATTTGATGATTTCAACAACAATTTTTCCAACGGTTTATTATCGTTGGAATATGTCTCTCCGTTGTAACTATTATTTCCACCCATATTTCAATCGTCGAAAAATCTATGGTTGGAATCTTCAAAATCCAACCGATGAAAAACTTATTCCACGGAATATTTTAGTTAGAATTTCTGTTGTAATCAAATGAAAAATTCCAACGAAAAATAATGACATTGGAATATCCATTGGAATTGTCATTGGAATATATTTCCGTTGCAAATTTTATCATTTTCTTATAATGCAAGTAGTAGACCAAAACGAAAACTAGGCTAAGAAAATAATTTTCTTTAAATAATACCCTATTACACAGTTTTGCTATAGAGTCATCAGATGGTTCCACTTATAGAGTCATCGACACTTATTTACCAATAGTGTATTGACGCATGTCATACAATAAATATAATTTGGACAAGTGTCAACACATTAAGTGGTAGATGGCTCTATAAAAAACCATCATATGGTTCCATAAAATTTTTGCCCTATTACATCCTTTGGCTAGTTTACATTCATTAATTTTGGTCACCCATAAAACAGTTGTCATTAAAATATGTCTCATTTTGACTTATGTAAAAGGGACCTATAAGCTATAACATTATTTTAGCTGCTAATACAAAAAAACAATATAGTAACTTATTATAATTCCACAGCTCCAATATTCGAAAATATTACTAATTATACACCTTTGAGTTTCAATCTATCTAATCAAAATATTGATCAAGTACGTACTAATTACCTAGCATGTCTGAGTTTTCACTTTTCAATCGTTAGATAATTATCTTATGCGTTTTGCTTGGTAAATACATATGTTAGCTTTCAAAAAGAAATGGGTTTCAATAATTTTTTCTAACAAAATACTTATATATTGCTAGAAAAAGTCAATTAAAGCTAGCTTATTTAAAAACAAAGTACAATTATTACGTGTTGAATGTTATTTAAAACGTGTGGCTTATGTACTTTTTAATAATCGAATTATTTTTATGCCCCGGCCCTAACATTTCTTGATAAGATAAAATTGTAACAAAATCTACAAGATTAAACAGATCTTATGAAATGAATAATATAATATGATGTTACTTTTAAGAAGATCATATAATTCGACATTATTCCTCTATATATATATATATAGAGGATGTGTTATGCATCATATCAAATTAAAATCAATAATATATATACTCGCACATAATATTATATTATGAAAAAAAAATACATAAAACTACCATTTTTCACGTGAAATAATGTATTTTTGCTCTTTGAATGTTCATTGAGGAACCTTAAATGTGGACTTCCAATTCCACAATTCTTGCCACTTAGAGTATCTTCAATGCATTGGGTCTAATCTTACCTATATAGTAAGTAAATAAATCCAAGTCTTAGATGACATGGATAAAATTATATAAAATTAATAAAATTCAAATAGACTAGATCATTATTAATAAAATTAATAAAATTAATAAAATAGAAAAAGAAACGGCACAAGTTGATAGTTAGTGGGAGGCTGCGATAGGGCACGTGACATTTACGATAGAGTCTATGGTCTATTGCAACTTGCATCTTTTTTAAATTTTTAATTACAAGTGGTTGTCCCATACCTTGAATCTGTCATATTAGTACTAAACACCCTTTCCTAATTTCCCATCCTTCTTCCACATATTATTAAAAAAATATATAAAAGAACTAATTTCTGGCTGTAAAGTTCTTTTAAACATTATTACATATTGTGAAAAAAAAAAAAGTGTTCTACAAGACAATTCTATCGTGTTATTTGAGCAAAAAAAGCCTGCCACTTCGTTTATAAGCTCTTGTTCATTTAATAAATGAGCCAAGGTTTGGGTCTTTAAATCTCATGAAAGCTAGGTTGGATTCGATTAATAAATTCAAAATCGGAAATAAACTGGTGGAAAATACAATTTCCTCATTTTATTAAAATATTTGATTCGATTTGTTCATTTGTAATCTGTATAATTATAAACGAAATGCCCTAAAATATGTTCGACTTAGCGCTTTTCAAATTCGACTTGTGTAAGTAACTAAATGGGTCAATCTCCAACTTACACAAATCATTCGCGAAAAGATCTGACTCGATCAACATCTTTAAACTTTTATCAAACAAAAAAAAGTATTTCAACATAAAATAAAGGTAGACGGAGACAAGTTTCATAAAATTTCTCAGGAATTGTTCCAAGTTTGGTAAAAAAGATAAGAAATAGAGCAAGACAAACACCATCTAATAATAAGGGTGGTCTCGTTTATTACCAAAAAGGTCTTATAAATTTGATTTGGTATGACGAACCTTTTCAGTTAGTTCGTACTTATTTCGTAAGCTTTCTTAGATAGTTTAAGTCCGTAGAAAAGTTTATTTTAACCAGCTTATCAAATAATTTTACTAATTATTTTTATTATATCAATTAACTTTCAATTATTTGTCATTTCGTAAGCTTTCTTAGATAGTTTAAGTTCGTAGAAAAGTTTATTTTAACCAGCTTATCAAATAATTTTACTAATTATTTTTATTATATCAACTAACTTTCAATTATTTGTCATAAACTATCAGTTCAAAATTCATTTATATAAATTATAAGTTGACCTATCAAATACGTTTACCAAACATAGTTTCAAGTCAATAAAAAATGTTAAAATTAAAATAATGCAAGTATAAAATATAAGTTTGTTTCAAGGTCAATGCATACACATCGGTGAATGTGATTACTACCCAGGGACGAGAGCGAGTGGTTTTATTGGCAAAAGGTGGGCGGGCGCACAAGTTGACAGCCATACGACGTCGTATAGTGATTGGTGTGGTCCCACTCCACACAACTTGCATTCCAATCTCAACGTTTTTTTTTCATTCATAACTATATTGGAATACCATGTTAACCGTTGAATCTATATATAATTTAATGCAATATAATGTGCATGTGTATCAATTTTCATTTATTACTAGTGCATTTATTATTAGTGCAGAGCCCGTGCGATACACGAGGTGCACAATTTTAAGGCTATTTATTCAAACTTATAATTATATATATGAATAAAAAAATGTACGGGATATATATATAGTACGTGACCCGTGCGAGACATGAGATATATTTATTTAAGGAATATTATATTATAAGATGAAATATTAAATAAAATTTTTATAAGACGATAGCTCAATATTTTGAGATTTATAATATATAATTGGTAGGGTAGAATCAATGTATGTTAAGATTTTTAAGAAGAAATCTTGATAAACGAAAATCACATTATATGTAGAGGAACAAATCAGATCAGATTTTCCATACAATTAGATAAGATTTTTGGTACAAAGATAAGAAGAAATTTTAAATCTACACAAACTATAAATATTAGATGTATTAAATTACGCAAATCAATATCTATATAGACAACCAAACCCTTCAATTTAGGCTTGACATCTAATTATACGATAAGAAGGAATTCTAAATCTACACAAACTATAAAGCCAATTTATTGGGATTTTTTCGCAGGAAAATCGATTGTATGAGAATAGTAATAGCATTAATTGAATCGCATAGCATTAATTTCAATATAAAATAATTAAACAAAATACATGCTGGAAATAGTAATAGCATTAATTGCAGTTGACTTTTCTGGATACTATTTGTAGTAAATAAGATCCCTTTTTATATAAGTATAGATATATTTTAATCTTGTTTATTTTATTTAAGTATTAATGCAATATAATGTGCATGTGTATCAATTTTCATTTATTATATATTATTATCTTGCTTTAAAACAATATAGTTTGTATGTAAATTTTCATTTATTACATATTATTATCTTGCTTTTCTTTATAAATTTACAATGAGGAGATATATTGAAAAATAAAATTATATAGTTACAAAATAAATTTAATCTAATAATCATAAAAATATTTTTAAAATATTAATAAAAAATTCATGAGAGGCTACTCACACCCGTATTGAAGGAAGCTTTTATAATGATTTTTCCAATATTTCAACATTCATATTATATGGATAAGACACTATTAAGTTGACGAATTTGTCAGTCAGTGAAATAGTTTATTGTGTTAATGAAAAATATTATATACCTTTAATTCATTTATTATCAAACGTGAATCTGTGAAGGCAGTATAATTAATTTGTGTATAGAAAGTGATAAGCATAAGATAATGCAATATAAAAATGAAATTGATGCATGGCTGTGTCAATTTTTGTCTACCTAATTATATGTGGAGATCTAACGTCTAGCAGAAATTCTACTAAATTTTTTCCTCGTCTGGCATGTCATATGCTGCACATGAATTGCAAAACACACATTCTTTTTTTTCTATAAATAGTAAAAGACACACATTTTTTAATGATTAACTCATTGAAAACGATTGTTCTGTGTATGCTAAATACATATATATTTTGCAACTTATTCACCATAAAATATGGCTCTATATATAATAGTTATAAGTTAATTTCAACTCGATGAAATACTTATACAAAGCATACAATAATCTTTTTTTCCCTTTATTGCAATAAACATTAATATTTCTGATTTCTGATTCGAATTTGGCAGTGTGGTCCCTCGGTAGGACTTTTTGGGTAAATAAATACTATTAATTTAAAGCCCACTTGGTATTTCTTGCGTACGGTAAAATCCCACTTGACATCAATTATTACATAAAATTATTAAATTTTGTCAGAATAGCTAGGCTGAAGAGGTAACAGCAGTATGGTATGAATATGATGAATGAATATCAGACAAATTTTCCCAAAGTAATTATGAATTCATGTGGCTGGCTCCTGATAAAAGCATTTCCTTCCTAACTTGGAAACCTAGCCAAGGAGGTTTGATGTTAAATTATTTAATATAATTAACTTAGCATGCCAGTATTTGTAAAATAATTTAACCTATAATTAATCTTCCTCAAATTACCTGAAAGGGATAGATTTTTTTCAAATAGCTTACACTTGGTGTAATTTGGAGTCTAACATTGAAAACTTCCAAATAAAATTTTTTGAGCACATTGATAAATAAGTTACACATATGTAAATTTACAATTACTCCATATGATTTGATATAATAAAAGTAATAAAATACTAACATGTGCATAAAAATTTCATTCTTTTGATATCCTATAGCATAAAATTTTGAGTTACACAACACTTCGGAGTTTGGACTGATTTACTTTTAGTGTTTCATTATTTTATGAATCACGCGCGCACGCTACTAAAACTGCAAATAATGAGGGGCGAGTGAGAGGCACGTACCGGCGTCGGAAGGCGGCAAGTAATCGTTGAAAAATCCGGCGGGCGAACTGCTGTGGCGGATTAATTGAGAAGAAGATGAGGAAGTGTAGTTATTGGAGGAGCGTTGCAAAGGGGCGATGAAGGAGTCGATGTCGAGTGCGGCGTCGAGGACTGAGGTCGGGGCGGAGCCATACCGCATGAGGCTTCCTTGCGAAGAAGGATTATTCTTCTCGTTATTATTCATTTGCTCTTATTTGGTCCCATTTTGTGTGAGATGGATGATCAACCTCTATCTATCAAGTTGTGAGAAATTTAATTTAATGGGGATGACCAAAATCCAAGGAGATGAATATCTATTTTTTATTTTTTCAAAGAAAAAAAATAAAATAAAGAAGAGGTGGATGTGCAAGTTGCTTGGGAAAAAGCGAAAAAATTATGTGAGGTGGAGTGAGTGGTTGTTTCCAAATCCTACCACTTGGTCTCCTATTATATATTCTTTTGAAAAAATAGCTATTTTCAACTTTCTCTAAAGATATATTAAGTTTTATATATCCTCAAATAATAAGTTAATTTTTTTAACTTATAAAATGCGAAAGCAATTATACGATAAGTTATGCGACAGACAGACGAAAATAATTACCGAAATAATTATGCGACATATAGATGCAGATAATTGATAAAGTGCGAAATATTTGTGCGATAAACTATGTCACCGCTTATTATAGTAAATCGTGGAGGCGTCTCACTAGAGTAGGTAGGCATTGTTTGTCCCATTTTTTTGTATTTTTTCTTGTTATTTTTTATTTTTTTTTCCCCCATTTTAGGTTTTTCATTGGTTTATAGGTCGTTTTATAGTTTATTGCATGTTTTGCTCTATTTTTGTCTTCTATGTGTTTTTCGTGTGTTTTTATGGTTTTTCTTCTTGTTTTTAGTGTGCAGGTCGGAAGCCTCTTGAGAAGAGATTTTGCCCGAACATGGACCGGGCAATCATGGTTGGGTAGACGGGTTCGTTGGCGACATATAGGAAGAAGCGGAACCCAATTTCGAGCTTGGACGAGTCCGAACGGGCCCAAAACGCAAAGTCGCGCGAAGTACGTCTTTGGTGTGCTGGTCATAAGCTTTGGAAGAATTGAATTTCAAGAATAATTTTGTCATGCAAGCATCATTGAATAAAGGGTTCCTTAGCGACACGTAGGAAAAAACAGAACTCAATTTCGAGTTCAGAGGATCTCAAACGAAGCCGAAGCGCAAAGTCGCGCAGTCCAGTCTATCACGGCGCTAAGGCTGGCCTAGCGACCCCTTATCGACCCCAGAGCCTGCTGCCTAGGAGACCTTAGCGGCGCTAACCCCTGTGCAACCAGATTTTTATAAACTTCGATTTTGCTTGATTTTGAAGAGACCTTTCATTGGGACTCGTTCCCAGACCTAAAATTTGAACTCTAAACTCATTTTTCACCCTTTTTCTCTCTAGAAAACTATGATTCTTCATCTTGGATTTCACCATTATTCTTGGATTAAGCTTGAATTTTTGGATTCGACTTTCAATATCATATTAATTGTAAGTTATTTTCTTCATATAATTGATGAATATGATTGCTTGGGTTGAGATGATTGATTGTGTTGAATTGAATATACGTAGCTAAATCCAATTGCTAGGGATAGGGGATGATGTTTTGGTTTCGATTGTGATTGTCGTGCTTGTTGATCGTTCAATTCATGCGAGTTGATTTTGAAAGCGGTTTTTAATTTTCATGCTTGAATGTTGAATGTTGTTGAAGAGTGACACATCAACTTGCAATTGATTTTCAATTGAACATGATTCATTTAGGTTTGATGTCTTTAATTCGTAAAGATTAGTCAGCAAATCACCTTCTATTCTAATTTAATCAACTCTTATAACCGAAAGGGGAGGAGTTGATCGATATAGGCTCGTATGAAATAGGCTTATTCGTAACTGTATTGCCTATGTGATAAATGACTCGTTAATTTGCCGTTCGCTTGTTTATTCGCCGTTGTTGGGGAAGGCAAGTAGGATATTTGGTTTTGGTTTTGATCTTATTTTCCGTGTTTCTCTTAGTTTTTCGTTTTTCCTATTTTTGTTCATTCTTTTGCTCATCTTTGTTTTTCTTTTTGTCTTTTTTTGTTTTTGTTTTCTTTTTTCTTCTTTTTCGTGGCTATGTGTGGTTCTTTTGTTTTGGTGTGCAGGTATTATGAACTTCAACCATGCTTTCTCATATCCGCACACCCAATCTTGGGGCAACGAGCCGAGCTATCACGCCGGATACCACAACCAATCATATCCATACTCTTCCGAGCAGTACTGGGATCCCTTCTCGGTCGAGCAATATTATGATTCCCACGAGTTCAACGAGAAGCTAGACTGTATCTATGCTTTCGTAACATCCTGCTTAGCCCAGGAAAAAGAGACCGCAATCCGGTGTGCCATTCTGAACCAGTCACCTCCATACCACGATTCTTGGGACTATGGCCAGACTTGGACATATCCCTACGAGCAACAGTGGGATTCCTGTCCTATCGAGCAGTCATACGAGTCCCTCGAGGACTCCTCAGAATACAATGCAAAGCTCGACCAAGTCCTCACTCTTTTAGCCTCCTAAGCGGCCCGAAGGAGCAATATTGAGTCCAGAATCGAGAACCTAGCGGAGCGCGTGCAAGTCTTGGAGGATCTAGTTACCAATGTCTCTCCCGAGCCCACCGCTCAAGGTGAATCTACACATAAGAATGAACCTCGGGAGGTTGCTTTGACATACGATGAAAAGCTCGACCTTATCCTTGCTCGGATATCTGCCCAGACCATTCGAGATGTAGAGATTGAGCTCGGATGTGCTCGACTGAGCGCACAAATGGAGATTCTTACAACACATATCGACTCAATCAAGGCCCAAGTCGACGACCCCCACTTTATGTTTGATAGTCAAGCTCGTACGATGAAGCAAATGTGTGAGGCCGAAGAAGAAGACGATGAGCTCTAGCGAGACGTTGATGATATCTCAGAGGAGGAGATCCATGGGCTTGATTCTCAAGTCACCTCTCCCTTCTCCGAGTTGGAGCACCTGTCTTCGAGGCCGTTGCACTGTGTTACGAAGTGGGGAGGATTCAGTTCGACTTGCTCCACAGATGTGCTAATAGTTTCGGAGGTTGATGACAGAGCTCGGGAGGAAAAAGCTCTGCGACTACAATTGCGGATTGCTCGGGCCCGAACCCATTTCATACAGAACATAGCCATCCGGATCCATCGTGCTCACCTTCTTGCCACAATGCCCAGACTACCACTTCTCGAAAATACGAAGGCGTGGTATGATCGCCATTTTTTATGGATCCCGGCTGAGTTCTCCACAGGTTTTGTCAAGCTAATGACTTTAAACAATCGCTTCTTGGGAGACAACCCAAGTGATTTACTGCTTTCCTAGATATTTTCCTTTTTGCTCTTTTAGTTTTATCTTTTAATAATTGGGGTTTGGAGTTCTGTGTTTTTCTTGGCAGATACGAGTTTGCAAGCTTGAGCAGGAGGAATATCGAGGTTCTGAGCGGAGTGTGGGCGAGTAGCTTGCACGTGGATGCTTATTCTCCTCGAGGCATCTTCGGTTTGCACACCCTTTTCCCTTTTCTTTTTATGTTTTTTGAGTTGTTCTTTCCCCTGTCTTTGCTTTTGAGTCTTGTGTTCTTGTGGTAGTTGCTATGTTTGGTTCATTACGTGAAATTGCTTGGTCCTAGTTTGACTTTCTGTTTTATGTTGAAGCAATGAGGACATTGCCTCATTTTAAGTGTGGGGGAGTTTATTCGGATTTTGCATGCTTATGTGGTGGGCCGGTTTAGTTTTTAAGTTTTTGTGTTGTTGAGCATGTGGTATTGGTGAATTATAGGATTTGTTGATGAATGTCTGATGAAATTGGGAAGTTGTGATGACAGTTGTGTTGATCATTGCCTCGATATTTGCTTGATTACTTTGATTGACATTTATTTACCTTGTGAGGTTTTGATCCTTACTCTTCTTTCTTGTGAGATATTGGTCATATTCTTGAATGATTAGAACTTGCCTTGAGTTTGTTTGAAAGGAATCGATTAGAGTTTGAAATTGCAAAAATGATTGAGGCGTTTTGTTTGATTAGCTCTCTTTAGCCTTGTTCGTGATCCTAAAAGTGCATTTTTTCTGCTAGTAGCCCGTTTGAGCCTTGAGCCTTTTCTTGTCAGCCATGCATATAATGTATTTTATTGACTGATTTTGTGATGATTGGTGAAAATGGTGTCGTTGTCGAATGAGCTGAATTGGAGTTGGATTTCTATTGCTTGACCTATATGTAAAAAAAAAAACATGAGAGCTCACAGGACGAATCGAATGGATTCTGCTCCTCTTACTATTCGATTCATGTTGACGGGTAATGAGCATTGGGAAACTACTGTAGGACACATGGATGACCTCCAATGTTCTCACCTACAGAATGTCGTCTTTGATTGTTTATTTGAGCTTCTTATCCATATATATATATCTGTACCTTTACCTTAGCCCACATTACAACCCGTGAAGTCCTTTTGATTCGCATCTTTTGAGCTTTGACTATTTTCGGGTAATTTAAACGATTGACAAGCATATGTTGAAACTTGAATATCGACCAATTTTGAGCGTACCTATCACATATTTATATAAGAAAATGAGTGAGGCTTATATTACAATCTATGTGTTTGAGAGTTGTCATTTCAAGGTCAAGTTGATATTTGAGGCATATGGTTATACGATCGTTGGAATTCGACTTGATTGAGCTGGGAATTTTGAAGCTCTTCTTACTTGAAATTGTATCCATGCTTGTGTCTACTTTCTTTTCTTTTTGTTCGGGACGAACAAAAGGTTTAAGTGTGGGTGAGTTGTTTGTCCCATTTTTGTTGCATTTTTCCTTGTTATTTTTCATTTCCTTCTCCCCCATTTTAGGTCTTTTCATTCGTTTATAGGTCATTTTATAGTTTATTGCATGTTTTGCTCTATTTTGGTATTCTATGTGTTTTTTTGTGTTTTTCTCGGTATTTATTCTTGTTTTTAGTGTGCAGGTCGGAAGCCTCGTGAGGAAGATATTTTGCCCGAACATAGACCGGGCCATCATGGTTGTGTAGACGGGTTCGTTGGCGACATATAGGAAGAAGCGGAGCCCAATTTCGAGCTTGGACGAGTCCGAATGGGCCCAAAACGCGAAGTCGCGCGAAGTACGTCTTTGGTGTGCAGGTCATAAGCCTTGGGAGAATTGAATTTAAAGAATAATTTGTCCATTCAAGCATCATTTAATAGAGGGGTTCGTTAACGACGCGTAGGAAAAAACGGAACTCAATTCCGACTTCAGACGAGCTCAAACGAAGCCGGAGCGCAAAGTCGCGCAGTGCAGTTCTTAGCGGCGCTAAGGCTGGCCTAGCGACCCCAGAGCCTGCTGCCCAGGAGACCTTAGCGGCGCTAACCCCTGTGCGACCAGATTT